CACTGTAAATAGGTAGTCTAAATAGGTAGTCCAAGAACCAAAAAAGTGGTACGGGTACCAATTTTATCCGTGCCATACCAAAAATTGAGCGTAGTGTAAATGGGGCTTTAGTTTGTTTTGGAGAATCTTTGGTTTTTCCCTTTATACAGTATTTAGTTAATATTTTAGACTCCTTTTGTATTTATTAACTTATTAAATATTAGCTATGCCCCAGATTTGGGTTGCACGTAAAGCGGAAGCGGAAGTAGAGAGCCAAAGAGCCTGGTTTGCGAGGTTGTGACTTGCGAAATACGCATTTTATTCATTTCTCAACAATTTTATTCGCCGAAGCATTCAACGATGAATTTTCAATTCGGTCTTGCAGCAGCCCCTGTTACACCACTTGACAAAAACGGTGAAGTAAATGTCTCTATTATTGGCAAATATATTGATATTTTGCTGGAACAAGGAATTCGAAGCGTCTATGTGAATGGTTGCACTGGCGAAGGGCCGAGCTTCAACGTCCAAGAACGCAAACTCGTTGCAGAAAAATGGGTGGAATACGGCAGAAATAAACTGGATAAAATCATAATTCAAATTGGTGGGACAAACATGAAAGACTCGCAAGAACTAGCCGTTCACGCACAAAGTATTGGGGCATCTGCAATCGCTTCGCTTCCACATTTATTTTATCAATCTGACGTGTCAAGTTTGGTGGAGTATTGTGCTGAGTTAACCAGTGTTGTACCCGAAATGCCCTTCATGTATTACCATATACCAGGCTTCACTGGGGTTAATATTAAAGTAGAAGAATTTCTAGAAGCCGCACAGCACAAGTTGCCAAGTCTGGTTGGGGTGAAGTACAGTCATAATGATCTCTATGATGCCACCCAATGCACATTGGTAGGAGGGGGGAAATATTTTGTCAGTTTGGGTGCAGATGATTTGTTCCTGTCAGGTTTGGCGTTAGGTAAGGGTTATTCTATAGATTTATTAACCACAGATTGTAGAGTAAACAGACCAATATGATACTGTAAACCGGCCACCATGCTCCTAGTGGTCCTCCTCCCC